TGACTGCCGGGGGAGAACAAGACCCCTCCATGGAGCAGGGTGTGTGCTCAGGACCGGGCCTTGTTCTCTCTGACTTGTGTGTCCCTCATTCCTCACAGTTCCTGCTGCACCAACAAACCTGACCCTTACCAACCCAGGCAGCTCCTCAGAGCTTTACGCACGCTGGAACAAGCCCCCCGGCAGGAGGGACCACTACCGCGTTGTTCTGCACAGCCTCAGCACCCACAGCAGGAAGCGGGACCAGACCTTGAGTCCAGACGTGCAGAACATCACCTGGACTCACCTGGAGGCAGGCAGCAGGTTTGCTGTGCAGGTCACTGCTGTGAAAGGCTCCTTGGAAGCCTCCTCTGCCAACATCACCCAGTGGACGCGTGAGTCTGATGGGTTGGGTTGAACACAGAGCTCCTCTGTGCCCCAGAGCCTTCACCTGAGTCTTGCAGAGCCCCCACCACCACCTTCCCCATCCCAAACCATCCCAAACCATCCTCCTCCTCATGCCACTGGCTTCTACACAGTTGTCCCACCTTTCTGCTCACTGTCCTCACTCCTCCCCTAACACAGAGCCAATCCCCTCCACCCACCTCGGGGCCTCTGTGTCCTGCCCTGCCATGTCCAACTGACAGCCCTGCAGATATTGTGCTCAGAACCACCTGCACCATTTGTCCCCTTGCTTCTTTTTGGGAGAGTCTCTGGTGGCCAGCCTGCCCATCACCCGTGGAGTCTGGAGCCACAGGACCAGGAACCGCCACACCGAGCAGCCAGCCCTGAGCAGCAAGCAGTGGCACGCAGGGCAGGGTCTCACCATCTCCCTGTTGCTTTCCAGACCCCCTGGCACCCACGAGGCTCACCCTGCGCAGGCCCTCTGCCTCCACGCTGCAGGCCTCCTGGGCAGCAGCAGGACGAGCGGCAGAAGGTTACGTGGTGGACGTCTACGACACCGCCTCCAGCCGTCGTGTCGGGAGCGTGGTGCTGGCCGGGGGTGACAGGAGTCACACCTTCAGCAACCTGAGCCCCGGCACCCACTACAGCATGGCAGTGAGGGCCACAGCGGGGCCCTTCCACACCAGCACCCCCAACTTCACCCACTGCACACGTGAGTAGGACGCTTTCCTTGCAGCCAGGTGTCCTCTGGCAGATCTCCCCCTCCTTGGTTCAAATTTGAGGCCACACTGGTGCAGCCAGGCCCTGCCTTCCTCTCCCACCCATGCAAGCTCATGCCCTGCTGGATGCAGCATGGGGAGCCTGTGGCCTGGCTACCCGTGTCCCAGGGAGCCATCCACAGCCATCCACAGGCTCAGGCAGCGCCAGGGAGGGGGCAATCCCTGGAGGCAGCAGCCACCAAGTCAAGGGCAAAGCCAACCCTTGGGACTTTGTGGGGCTGCCCCACCTCCTGCCGCACAGGCTTGGCACAGATGTGGAGCATCTCCTTCCTCTTGGCCTGGATGTGGCTCCTGACAGTGACTTGTGTTTCCTCCCCAGGCCCACTGCCCCCCACCACTGTGCACTGGCTGAGCACGGGGCACCCCGACAGGCTGAGTGCATCCTGGGGAGCTGCAGCCGGGGGGCGAGACAGCTACACACTGACCCTGTACCACACACAGCTGGGCACTGTGGCAGGCCCAACCTCCCCTGGCAGAGACACCCACAACTTCACCTTCCTGGGCCTGGCCCCAGGATACGAGTACTCCCTGGAGGTCAGTGCCATGGCTGGACCATACCAGGCAGCAGCACCCAACATCAGTGGCTGGACACGTGAGTGCCTGGAGGGGGATCCTCTGCAGAGGGGGGGAGACGCTGTGCTACTGGGCAGCCCTGAGAAGGGCTGGGACGTGTACATGGGTCCTGGTGCCTTTGTGAATGTGCACGGGTGCAACACACAGCAGCTGGTGCATGGGCACGCTGTTTCCCTCATGGACACATGGATGTTCAGCTGTAGACTTGCACAAGTATGTGCTGACCACATTCAGGGTTGTCCAGCGGTGCCCATGTGAGGACATGCCCCTGCCTGTGCTGCCTCATCTCCTTGTATACAGGAGCACCTCGTCTCCTCCAGCAGGTAGAAACCACATAACCATAAATGCTAATTAAGTGAAGCAGCGTAGTACAGGAAGAGGCTAACCCACAGTCCTCCAGGAGAACAGGTCTTTGCTCTGGAGATGGACTAATCCAGCCCTTCTCCGTACCCACAAAGATTTGGGGGCTGGACAGAGTGCAGAGGCTGTGCCAGCTGTGCCCAGGCAGCTGCGTGCCAGCTGGGTGCTGAGCATCGCGTCTGCCCGCAGTGGTGACAAAGGTGCTGCAGCTGGGCTGTGGCAATAAGAGTGACCGGAATGAGGAAGGGTTTTCATGTGAGGGACCACAGAAGGTGAGCAGCATTAAAGGTGAGGTGGGATGGAGATGGAAAAGTGACCAGAAGGAGGCCACTGTGTCCCAGACCTCAGGGAGCATCTGTTCTGCTGCACAATGTCCTGTCAGGTTTGTTTCCTTTTGCACAGTCTCTGGTCCCTAACGTCAGGTCTGGTGACTCCCCCAGGCCCACTGCCACCGACCACTGTGCATTTGCTGAGCACGGGGCACCCAGACAGGCTGAGCGCGTCCTGGGGAGCTGCGGCCGGGGGGCGAGACGGCTACACACTGACCCTGTACCATGCACGGCTGGGCACTGTGGCAGCCACGGCTTCCCTTGGGAGAGACACCCACAACTTCACCTTCCTGGGCCTGGCCCCAGGCAGCAAGTACGTGCTGGAGGTGGTGTCCACGGCGGGGCCCTACAGGACACCTGCAGGGAACGTCAGCAACTGGACGCGTGAGTACCCCGCTTTGAGGGTGGTGTGGGCAGTCACAAGGATCATGGTAAAGGACACGGCCCTGCTGACCTTCATGGCAGACCCAGAGCCCTGCTTGAGCCCAAGGGCTCATCAGTGCCATGGCACCAAGCAGTGTCAGCTCCCCCAGCCTGGATTAGACCAGCTGCAGCTCTGGGGTCTGCTTCAGAGGAGAGTCATGGAGGAAGGAGCAGTAGACGAGGGCATTCACCTTCTCTCCTCCGGCCGGCTGGGTGCTCCCTCCTCCCCCATCCCTGGTATCTCACTCCAGCTGGGCCAGGGGTGTCTCTGCTTGGACAAGCACCACTTGAAGCTTGGAGAAGCTGCTTTTGGCTGCCTCAAGCCTGGTGGATGCAGCCGCCCAGTGGAGATGAAGTGCGCTGTCCTGTGTGGTGCCACCCTTACAATGACAGTGCCGAGATACCCGGGCAGTGTCCTCAGACCCTTCACTGACATCTCCCATCCTGTCTCTTCAGACCCCCTGGCACCCCGTAACGTGTACATGACGAACCAGGGCTATCCCAACAGGCTGAGCGCATCCTGGCGAGCAGAACCCCAAGGACATGACAGTTACAGGCTCCTCCTGTACCACTCGGGGTCAGGTATTGTGGCAGCCAATGTATCTGTTGGGAAAGGCACCAACAAATTCGTCTTTTCTGGCCTGGCCCCAGGACACAAATACATCCTGCAAGTGGTGTCCGTGGCAGGGCCCTACGCAGCCTCCGCAGGGAACATCAGCGACTGGACAAGTAAGTGGCGAGGGCTGGAGGTCCTTGTGTCGTGCATGAGGTTCAGCTGGGTGGGCTCAGTGTCTGCAGTGGGATGGAGGAGGGCTGGGACTGTTGTCTGGGAGCTGTAGGTACCACTGTAGCGATGGGATCATGTGCAAGCCCCTGGTGCAGGGGTTGGCAGGGCAGTGCTGCTGCCCAGAGGACAGTCCTGCGGCTGTCGTGGCTGTCTCAGGGCAGACCCCAATGTTCACACACACTGGCTTCTCCAGGCATGGGTGACTGCAAGGAGCAAGGGATCCTGTGGTGGTGGTGGTAGAGGACGCCCAGAGCCTGGGAGACCATGAGGCCTCACAGCCAGGGGGGTCACCCTACTGTCCGCGCTGCCTTTCTCCCAGGAACTCAGAAAATTCCTGGCATGAGAAGTTATGGGAGGCTGGGCTTTATTTTTTTCTTTTTAAGGAATGTGGAAATTGCAGATAAGCACAATAAGCCTTTTCATGTGCTTGTCTCCACAGTCCCCACACTTTGCCTGGGGAATCCAGAGGTCTCTGCTCCCACGCTCAGCCAGCCCCTGGCAGGGTGCTGGCAGTCACGTGCAGAGCCCTTCAGGCAGGTCTCTAATGAAAACTGCTAATTAGCAGGACGAAGAACCCATCTCCTCATGCTCCTCACTCTGCGTGTCCTCCAGTTGCCATTTAAAGGTCACTTCTGGTCATGGCAGCCAGCAGCTGCAGAAATGTTATCACTGAACACATAAATGTTTCCCTGTATATTAATCATCTCCTGCTTGTATCTCTACAGGGTGGCAGAGAGGGTCTGGCATGCCAGTCACTCTCCCCTGGTGTGGTTTTCATTGTAGCCCCCTCAGTTCCCAAAAATCTCTCTGCGGCAGCCGAAGGGAACAGCACAGTGCTCATCTCCTGGGGCAGTGTTTCTGGACAGCAGGACGAGTGCCAGCTGTGGCTGCGGGATCTCAGGAACAGCAGCTTAACCTGGCGGCACGATCTGCTCCGGGGACAAGTCCAGCACCTCCTGCAGGGGCTGGTCCCGGGGAGGAACTACTCCGTCTCCTTGAGCTGCGTGGCCGGGCCCTACTGGAGCAGCACCAAAGCCTTGGCAGTGCCGATGGGTGGGTACACACTGCCGTGGAGATGGGGAGTGCAGGCTGGAACGGGGAGAAACGCCTGGATGGCCTCAAGATTGGATCAGTCCTTGGGGGTCAGCAGACGCATGGGAAGTCTTTGTGGTGTGGGATAAGGAAAACCAGCAAGGTGGCTCTCTAGTAGCCATCAGCTCTCTAAGCTAGCCCCATCACAGAGCTTTCTTATCACCCTTTGGCCTGGCTACCTGTGAAGCAAAGCGAACTCTGCAGAGATGTCCATTGGTCTGCTTCTCCTATAAGACACCTGCTCAGGCCCTGACCTGTTTGCCTTGTCCTGCAGCCCTGGGCACAGAAGGCTCCGAGGTCACCGATGTCCAGCTCTGCTCCTCTCCCATTGACCTAGGGACAGGCAGTAGAGGACCATAGTGGCTCTGGGCTGACACATGGGCTGAGGCTGGGATGTCTCTGGTCTGGTAAGTTCAGAGCTTGCCATATCTCCTTTGCAGAGCCGAACCCGGTAGAGAATGTGCAATGCCTACCGGAGTCAAGGAGTCTTTACTTGAACTGGACCAGCTCTCCTGGAGATGTGGAGGCCTATGAAGTGGTGACAGAGAGACTCTCTGATGGACTTCCCCCCTCCAAGTATGCCATGATCATCCCTACAAGCGAGGCCAGTCTGGAGGGTCTGGAGCCAAACTCATCGTACCAAATTGTTGTGAGCACAGTGGGCATGAACGCCTTGAGGAGCCAAGCCGTGACTCTGCTCTGCAACACCACAGTGGACGGTGAGTCCCCTTCTTTCCCACAGCCCTGCCACAGAGCCCAGGAGAAGACACCCAGAGCTGCGAATTAAACCTTGATGCCTGTGAGCCCCATGTGGTCCTGCACTGAACTGCAGCGGGTCTGTCACCGAAATCGGGACTAGAAAAACCTCTTCACACCAATGTACATTAAGAAGCAGGCGTTCTTTATTCGGCATCGGGTGCAAGGGGCATGATTTATTCCATCCAAGCTCACACGAGTGTGGTCACTTTTCTTAGCATATTTATACACAAAAGTTTCAGGATTTTGCCATCTAAATTACAATGATTGGTTGCAATTTAAATATAATTATAATGCATTTAAATATTGCTTAATCATTCTCGAATCAACTGTGATTGCCTACAAGGGGTCTTCCAGTGGTCTCTGGTGGTCCCTGACAGATCTGAAGAGGCATCTCTTAATGTTCTTGCCATGAACTCCGAGTGCTTTTCCCATATACGATCCTTCCTTGTATTGTTCTTGTTTTATAACTATTTATGAATTCCTTATTTCCCTTTATCAACCAGTGTCTCCTAGTCTATCTGCAGTCCTTTAAAATGTACTAGGACGTATCAGTGTACTAGGATGCATTAGTCATAGTTACAAAAATCATGTCCTTGAGTTCTTATGACAGATCAGGGCTCTGGGCAGCGATGCTGGGAGCAGCCGCAGGCTGTGGTGTGTGTGTGGGAGCAGGGACACACTAACAGGCTGTGCTCGCTGGTTCCTTTTCCAGCCCTGCCTCCGCCCTTGCGAGAAGACATCTTCCAGGTGGAGGCCAGCTCCACGGTTATCATTTCATCGGACCTGTTCAGCGAGGAGAATGGCCAGATTGAGTATTATGGTGTGATTGCTACCACCAATGACTCACGTAAGTGGCCCTGCACGTCCCGATCCGCAGTGGCTCCCTGGAGGGCAGCAGGTCCCCTGGACGTCACTTTGGGACTGCCACTGTCACCTTGTGCATTCCCCTTCAGTGCTGAGGCCCACCCAGGAAATCATGTCCAGCACATGGTATGACCACTATTACGGGACAGAGGACTCCTACCTGGCTGTGCTAATCCCCAACCCCTTCCATCCGAGCCCCAGGAGCTCCACTGAAACCTGGCGAGTGCCCGTGGGGACAGAGGAGTGTGGCCAGTCCAGGGCAACGTGCAACGGGAAGCTGAAAGCCAACGAGCAGTACAGGTGAGAGATGTCACCCCTCCGGAGGGGAAGGGACTGGGGCAGAAAACTCTACTCTGCCCTGGTGAGACCGCATTTGGAATACTGTGTCCAGTTCTGGGCCCCTCACTTCAAGAAGGACAGGAGCTGCTTGAAAGAGTCCAGCAGAGTCAAAAATATGATGGAGGGAGTGGAGCATCTCCTGCTGAGGAGCGGCTGAGGGAGCTGGGGCTCTTGAGCTTGGAGCAGAGGAGACTGAGGGGTGCCCTCATTCCTGGGGATCCATTTGGAAAGGGCAGTGTCAGGAGGAAGGAGCCAGGCTCTGCTCTGTGATGTCAAATGCCAGGACAAGGGGCAATGGGAGCAAGCTGGAGCACAGGAGGTTCAACCTCAACATGAGGAAAGGCTTCTTTACCGTGAGGGTGCCAGAGCATGGCCCAGGCTGCCCAGAGAGGTTGTGGAGTCTCCTTGTCTGGAGACACCCAAAGCCCTGACGTGTTCCTGTGTGACTGCTCTGGTGATCCTGCTCTGGGGGGGTTGGACTGGGGGAGCTTTCAAGGTCACTTCCAACTCCTCATGTTCTGTGATTCTGTGAAAAGGGGGGACTCCTGTCCCCGCACGGAGCCACCAGCTCCCTGGATGTGACCTCACCCCCGTGTCACCAAAATTGGGACTAGAAAAACCTCTTCACACCAATGTAGCATTAAGAAGCAGGCATTCTTTATTGGATGTCAGGTGCGAGGGGCATTATTTATTCTATCCAGGGTCGCACATCTAGCAGGACTTTTCTTGGCATATTTATACACAAAAGCTTCAGGATTGCAGGATCTGAGTTAAAATGATTGGTAGCAATTTAAATGTTATACATTTAAGTATCTGCTGAATCATTTTTGGTTCAAACTGTGCTTGCATCCAAGGGGTCCTTTGGTGATCTCTGGTGGTCCCTTGCAGATCTGAAGAGGCACCTCTTACTGTTCTTCCATTGACTCTCAGTCTTTCTCCCATCTGTGGGCTTTCCTGGACCCTTTTCTCAGCTCCCTGATCTTGGTCTCAGCCGACGTTCTGCTGGTTTATCATTCAGAATGCACTAAGATGTGTCTGTACCAGGATCTGTCAGTCACAGTTACAAAAATCCTGTGTTTGAGTGAGTTCTTGTTTGAGGCCCCTTACAACACTCGTACTCCTCAGAGCCCCCACAGTGGACCCCAGGGATCCAAGCAGCATTTGAGGGGTTCAAGGGCTGGATTAGGCAGTGTAAGTGGGCAGGGAGAGGGGGAGCAGACATGAAAGCTCGGGCTGACAAGGGCTGTGTGTGTTGTTGGGCCATTGTCCACCTCCAGGGTAAGACCTAAAATGGGCTTCTGCAGGTGACTGGGAGCCAGATGCAGGCTCAGAGAGTGCAAAAATGAACTGATTCAGAAACATCAGTTGAAGTGGTGCCTGTACAACTGGAGTCTCAAAGGTTGAGGGCAGCAAATGCACAGGCTAAGGTCCAAGTTCCCCATGAGACATACACACCGGTCACAATATTCATAAATTCAGTCTTATTTGACAGTAAATAGAATCCAGGAACATCAATGTACAAGCATACATATTCTGTTATGGGGTACCTTTTAAATTGATGAATGTAAAGTAGATTTTCTACTACAAACAATCATATTGTTAGTCCTCTGTTTAGCAGCTCACAATTTATGGTTGGACTTGATGATCTTAAAGGTCTTTTCCAACCAAAACCATTCTATGATTCTGTGAATTTAATCAAATAGGGACTGTATGCCCAGGCATTTCTCTCACAAAGAGATCCCCCAGAATGGGAAAGGTTGTCCCATTTCAGTTTAAAGGAACTTACAGCAAGAGTGGAGGACTAGTGATGGAAGTCATTGAGTGTTGGGCTAAGAGAAAGAAAGGCTGTGAGAGAGTGTGTACATGAGAGAGAGCTTCACTTTCCCTGTGAGTAAAGTGAGAATTAGATCTGCCCTTAAGCTTTGTGGTCAGTAGAGTCAGAGTCCCTGGTGTTGGGTTTGGACCTGCTGGCTCTCCTTCCTTCCTTCTTTTCTGCTTCACTTTCTTTACTTTTGCTATGTGCAGAGTCCTCACTTACATGAAAAACTTACACTGATTTGTATAGAGTCGTTTTAGATTTACACGCTTTGCCGAACAGGGGCTCTTAACTCAAGCTGCTGTTTGGGGCAGCAAGAACAGAGAACAGAGATTGGTGTTAACCCTGGACTCAGAGGAGCAGAGAATGGCTGCTTCTCCTGGGGAAAAAAGGAGTTTCCAGAGAGGCATTCACTTGGAAATCCCACCCAGAGTAGAATCATCAAGAGCAAAGGGCTCTCCTGAGGATATTATCATACCTGGCAGGAGAACTGCACGGTGATGCATTCCCATCCCATGCCAACAGAGGTGCTGAGGTCCCTGGCCTGGGTCATCCCTTGCTGCCTTTTTCACTCCAGCATTGACCTCCCGCTGGGTGGCAGCTAATTCAGAGCCATCAGGCTGTCATTAGTCCACCCACCAAGATTCAATAACATGTACTCAACTCTCCAGTTACTCAGGGCCAGAAGATCCTTTTGCAGCTCTTCACAGCTTGTTTTCATTTTGGCTGCCCGGAACAACCTGCATCCTCAGTACACTGTGCTGCTCTCCTAGTTAATCATTAGCAGTGTGGTGAAAAGCAGATACCTCTGACAGCCCATCTCCACTCTGAAAGCCAGCCCTTGTTTCCTATCTTTAAGTGAGTTGTTTATCTACAAGCCCTTATCTCTCATGCCATGGCATCTGCAGGTTCAGTTTCCAAAGAGATCTTTGCTCTGGCAGTGCGGATGTGCTGCCAGAGGGGCTCCAGCTGGAATGGGTCCAGAGGAGGCCATGGGAATGGTCAGGGGCTGGAGCAGCTCTGCTATGGGGTCAGCTGAGAGAGTTGGGGTTGTTCAGCCTGGAGAAGAGAAGGCTCTGGGGGGACCTTAGAGCACCTTCCAGGACCACAAGGGGCTACAGAAAAGCTGGGGAGGGACTTTTTACAAGGGCTACAAGGATACAAGGGATCCTTTTTAGCAATAGGATGAAGGGGAATGGCTTTAAACTGGAAGAGGGGAGATTTAGATGAGACTTTAGAAAGAAATGGTGATGAGGCCCTGGCCCAGGTTGCCCAGAGAAGCTGTGGGTGCCCCCTCCCTGGCAGTGCCCAAGGCCAGGTTGGACGGGGCTGGGAGCAGCCTGGGCTGGTGGAGGTGTCCCTGCCCGTGGGGGTTGGACTGGGGGGGCTGTGAGGTCCCTTCAACCCAAACTGTGCTGTGATTCTGTGACTCACACAAACTCTTGGCTGCTAAAATCCAAAGCTATGTTTGAAAGCCTTAGCTTGCATTTAGGGCACAAGAAGACCTACCTTACATGTTACCTGCACAGCAGGAAGTCAGCTCTGCAGGGAGCTGTGAGGGTTGGTGTGCACATTGCCAGGGGATGCAGGGCAGAGCACAGGGAAGAGGATGCACCACCCACTTCTGTGTGCATGGGGAAGGGTCTGGGCTGGGGCTCAGCCCTCACAGCTGAGCTGCCCCTGTTTGAAACAACTGCCCAGGCTCAGCTCTTTCAAGTCAACCCAATTAACGGGTTGACATGAACTAAAACAGTGACCCAATGTAACTTGATTTTTCCTTACTTAATGTTGTCTTTTCCTATAAGAGAGCAGAAACTTACTACTTGTCTCTGCAAATAACCCTTTGGAAGAAACCTGTTTCCCATTTGTGCTTTCTGAACATTTTCTCATGTTCTCCCCAATGCAACAAACTTGCCCAAGAGGCCGAAAACAGAGAGGAAAGACCATTTCCACACATTCCCTAAATCCCTACCAGAAATCCAGCTTCTTCCAATACAGCATTTCAAAACCGCAGCAGCTCTCCTGTCCCCTGGGGGCTCCCTGCTGCCGGCTGCATGGGCGCTGTGCTCAGCTCAGGTTGCCCCTGACGGCAGGACTCTGCTTTGCCCTAGGTTCAGCATCGCTGCCTTCACCAAGTACGACCCAGTAGCCCCCGCAGTGACGTTCACCATGTTCTCAGGTAAGGTGGAGAATGCCATCTTCCCTACCTGGTTAGAGATAATTAACAACCTGACAATGGCAAGCCAGAGGGAGATCATAGGCTGCAGCAAATGCAATAAATAGAGTAAATGCAACCATTTACTGACTCTTATTTCCATCCATTCTGTCTCTTTTTTTTATTTCAGGTGCTGGGTCCGGTGCAGACACAACTCCACTCTCAATGCCAATAATCACTGGAATAATTGTGGGATTTCTCTTGACACTCGCAGCTATTTTTGCTTTGGTCTACTGGAAGCAGCTCAGAGCAAAGAGGTGAGGATGAGCCATCTCTTACCCAGTGGGTGCTGGCTGAGAAACCCAGCCTTCAGTGCCAACCAGGAGGAAGAGCAGTGAGAGGGCATGAAAAGAGATTTAGGCAAACTGGGACCCCTGCTAGCAGAGCTGTGCCTGGCAAGCACTGAAGGGAAAGGGCAGAGGGGAGAGGAGAGCTGCCCTGTGCAGTTCACTCACAGAACCCCACACGTGTGCAAGGCAGCATGCGTGGTGTCAGCCATGTGCTCACAGCACCAGGCCGTGCAGGGGACAGTGACATCTCCCATGCTGCAGGGGACAGTGACACCTCCTGCACTGCAGGGTACAGTGACACGTCCCATGCTTTGATTCCAGAACCCAGAAGCGCAGCCTGCCCCAGGAAATGGTGACCTACAGCTTGAGGTGAGTGCTGGAGCCTTCCCTTTCTGCGGGTCCTCGTTGCAGGTCCCAGAGGTCCCAGGTCCATTCTCATGCTTTGACTCAGGAAACGTCCAGCTCTATCTGCTCTCCTTGAGTTATTTTTTAAATATTGGGCTTTCCCGTGTTCAGTATTTATTGCCCAGCTCCATTCCAAGTCAATGCATTGGCCATACCTCCTCTGCAAGGCTTCTCCAGTAGGAGAATGTCCTCCTCATCCTGAAATCCCTCCCAATATTTAACCAATGCTCTGTTGGACCCACTTCCCTGTCCGATGCCATGGGGCTATAGACTGATGTGTGTGCATCCAAGTACTGCAGGTCTCAGGGCTGGGCTGTCTCATTGGCCTGCCAGACCTCCTGATAACTAAGGCACATTTTCTTCTGGACTTCATTTCATGCAGAAACGTCCATCGGCCAATTCCCATACAGAACTTCAAGCAGTACTATGAGATGAAGACAGCTAACCATGCGTTTTTCCAGGAGTTTGAGGTGAGATGGGACTCCTGCTAGAGATAAGACTTCATTTCTCCTCCAGGTAGCTCATGCCCCAGCTCTTGGGTGGTGTGATGTGAGGAGGGTTTGAAAGAAGCACAAGGTCTTTCTGTTTTCTCAGCAGAAGACGTTTCTGTTTTCTCAGCACAAGCTCTGAGCTTCTTGGTAGATGAGAAAGGTTTGGATTTTTTCCCAGTACTTGTTCTCGGACTTGTTTTCTCTTACATAAAAACAGTACTGTTGGAGAAGGCACTGTTTTACGGTTGGAAAAGCCACCTATGGCTCAGAGCTCCCAGGCCATACTGAGGGAGGAGTGGAGCGGTTCCCTGTGTGTGGGTGACCCCCTTACACCACAAGACAGAGCCACTAGCCATGAGCGGGGTTGGGTAGGAGCCCTCCAGGGAGACACCTGTGCTGATCTTCTCTTCTCTCCTACAGGAGCTGAAGGAAGTTGGGAAGGAGCAGCCGAAGGTGGAGGCCGAGCTACCAGCAAATGTCTCCAAGAACAGATATCCCCACGTGCTACCCTGTAAGTGCTGCCTCCTCCCACCAGCATCTGGGGTGGGAGTTCATACTGCAAAGCACAAGGACGGGCCCACCTTACATCACTGCAGGGCTCACAGTGCCTGGCTCCTCTCCTGGGAGAAGAAGGAGTCTTGAAGCGGGCCTCAGTTTCCATTTTCTTGCTGGAGACTCAAGGCTTGAGGGCTGACCCAGGGCTGAGCCACCTCAGCTCCTCAGGAGGCTGCTGGGCAGGGGCTGAGTGAGCCCCGCTCAGGGATGGGTCCCAGTTGGAGACCAGAGGGGATCACGAGCATCTCATGGCTTCTCCAGTGAGCCTTGTGATACCAGCTCTGCTGACCCCGCTGGCACGCAGTGCTCACCTCTCCAGGGACACGGTGCTGGCCAGGCACAGATCCTCACTGCTGGCTGTGTACCTGGAGCAAGCGGAGCCGCTGGGGCTTCTCCCAGTGCAAGGGAGGTGGCCGTGCCTTGGTGAGGGGCTGCCTTGGGGGATGATGTGTGCGTGGTCTCTTTCAGATGATCACTCTCGGGTCAAGCTGAGTCAGCTGGGGGAGGATCCACACTCAGACTACATCAATGCCAACTTCATGCCTGTGAGTGCCCACAGAGCCGTGTCCACGGGGCATGAGAAACTCTGCCTGGAGTGAGGTGGTGAGAGCTGGTGGGCAAGAGCTGCCACGGTGGGCACAGACTGGGAAGGAGCTGTAGCTTAGGCAGAGATGCACAGATGCCCTTTAGCAGGGGCTGATGGAGGCTATTGGATAGCGAGTGCCGTGAATGCAGAGGTGTGTGTGTGGGCAGACTGGCAAGGCTTTCTGCTTTCTTCTTGAGGACTGTCCTCTTCCCGTCCTCTCCCAGCTTACTGCCCCATCTGTCTGTCTGCTCTTTCTCCTTCTGGTCTGTGCAGCTGCATTTGAACAACCCTGGAGCTGCGCCCACATCCCCCATCCGGGAGGTTTTCGCAGGTAACAGGCAGGGCACACAGCATGCTTGCACGGGTGCGTGGAGCCACGGGGCATGTGTGTGTCAACGGGGAAAGGCAAAGAAGCGGCCTGAGACCTTGCATGCTCACCCTACCGCTGGCGATGACTGGGGAGCACAAGAGAGACCCAGATCTGTCTTTCCCTGGTTAGGCTGAATGAGGAACTGCTTGGAGGGAAACAGTGGGGGTCACAGAATACGTAGAGAGCACGTGTTGGGCAGCACATGCTTCCTGTGAAATCAGCTGCTTCTGAGATCAGCTGCCTCTGAACCGTGTCTGCATGGGCTAAGGGCAATGAGCATTTCTCCCTTTACCACAAATGCAGGCCAGGCACTGACGCTGCCACAGGGCAGCATCTGCCTGCCTCAGCAACTTGACAGCTCCTCCTGTCTGCCTCTTGCTCAGGGCTATACGTCCCAGCAGGAGTTCATTGCCACCCAGGGGCCCCTGAAGAAAACGATAGAGGACTTCTGGCGGCTGGTGTGGGAGCAGAACGTCTGCAACATCATCATGCTGACGGTGTGCATGGAGAATGGGCGGGTAGGTCAGCAGCGCCGGGCTGCCCCATGCCTGGTCCTGAGACTGAGCCCAGGACTGGGCTGGTGCCCTCTGCCAACCCCTGCTCAGACGTGGCTCCAAGGGGAGCACAGCTTCCCACACTGGCAGTTTGGGGGGGGGAACAGAATCTGATGTGTGCAGCTCAGCGTTAGTTTGGGGTGGGAAAGGGCAGAAGTGGAGCTTAGTGGGAACCATGCCCATCACCCTCAGGCATTTCTGCAGCATCTGAAATTACCACTTGCCTCTGCATGAGACACCTCACAGACTGTTCCTCCAGCCTCCAGGGGTGGTGAGACCCACACAGGTCCTTTTCTCTGGAGAAGGATGAGACCCAAACAGACGGGAGGTGGGGGAGTGCTATACAATGCTCATGGTGGGAAGGGGAAGTGCCCCTGCCTGCTCCCCAAGACCTGCCCTGCATCCCCACACAGCTGCTGCTCTCCAGATGCTGCCAGGGAGCTGGGAGGTCACCCAGTAGGACCTGGACCCTCACTGATCTCACTGGGACCCCATCTTGCCTGTGCTCTAGGTCCTCTGTGATCATTACTGGCCATCCGAATCTGCCCCGGTCTGCTATGGGCAGGTCCGGGTCCACCTGCTGGCACAGAGCAGCTCGGAGGAGTGGACCATGCGCGAGTTCAAGCTGTGGCACGTAAGTAAGGACACAGGAGGATGGGCTTGGGGACCAGCCGAGGGCTGCGGGTTTGCATGGGATGCAGCAGTGCTTCTCCTTGGTGGTGGTGGCAGAACTTCCTTTCCCTGCCATTAGCGGGGTTCAAAGACCCCTGTGGAGCAGTCTGTATCACCCCTGATGCCCACCCTTGCTCTCTTCTTTCCGTGTCCCTGCATGGGGACACAGCCTGCAGCTTCAAAAGCACGTTCCCTGACAATCATAGGCAGGTCTCCTCCTTGCCACCTCCATGTCCCTCAGCACGGCAGGGGACTGTGGAGGAGGACAGGGGAGCAGGAGCCACTGGGCAGTGCAACAGACCTGGTGTGAGCTGTTCCCTGCAGCTGAAACGGGTGTCCCCAGCTCCTTGGGTGCTCCCAGGGCTGCAGAGTGCATGAGTGCCCCTGTCCTGGGGGGGCCGTGCACCGATCACCACCATCCCCCCTGGCAGGAGGGTCTCCAGGCAGAGCGGCACGTGTCCCACCTGCACTACACGGCATGGCCTGATCATGGGATCCCGGAGTCCACAACTTCCATTATGACCTTCAGGGAGCTGGTCCGGGAGCACATCCAGAGCACCAAGGATGCAGGGCCGACCCTCGTGCACTGCAGGCGAGGCTCTGGTCCAGGGGGCAGGAGGAGGGGACGGTGGGATGGGGGACAAGGGTCCTGCTCGTGCACAAACTGCGAGGGGAAGCAGCGCCTGGGGGTCACAGCGGGTCTGTAGAGTCTCGAGCGTTGAGGATTATGGGTCTGCTTGCAGCCTGACCCCCAGCTCCAGGGGATGGGGCAGCTGGAGATGGTCAACACCACCCCGAGTCAGTGGGAATGGCTCCTCAGTGTCCCAGGGTGCAGCATCTGGGAGCCATCTCTAACAGCAGGAGGGGAGCCCATCGGCCATGGGGCCAGGCAATGTTCAACCTTTGCTGTCTGCTCCCAGCGCCGGGGTGGGCCGCAGTGGCACCTTCATCGCCCTGGACCGGCTGCTGCAGCAGATGAAGCAGGAGAAGGTGGTGGACACGTTTGGTGTTGTTTATGCCTTGCGGATGAACCGTTACCTGATGATTCAGACACTGGTAAGACCTCTACTCCCTCTTCCCCCTTTGCTCCACGGTGTAAAAGCTATCCGGGCTGGCAGACAGATGACCCGGCCGGCCAGCCCCAGCACCCCCACTGTCACTGTGTCACAGCGCTGCTCAAAGCAGCAGCTGGGCTGGAGTGGAAATTGCTCTTCTTTGGAAAGAAGAGCACCAAGGACCAGGACCAGGCCCTTTGCTTCACACACACCATGGTGCTGGCCTGTGATGCTCCACAGGCAGTCTGATATTTCTAGTGCTCATGGTTGGGATAAAGTGTCCGTACTACCCTCAGGACGGACAGACAGACCCAGTGGAGGAACCCAGGGACTCTGAGGCTAAAGTAGCCAGGGCCTTTTGGGCATGAAAGTAGGAAACCCTCTGTCAACGAGGCAGTGCCACACTCACCTCTCGTGCTGCCTGCATGGTGCGGTGCTCCACATTCCTGTCTGCCTTTGCCTTCCAGTCCCAGTATATTTTCCTGCACAGCTGTATCCTGGACAAGATCTTGGAGGAGCCAATCCTCGGTTTGTCAGGGACAGAGAGGTAAGGGTCTGCTGCATTTTGCCTGTGCCTTTACCCACCCAGACCCACAACCCCTTCAGGTGGCAGGTTGGGATCGTGGCCCCAGCCTAAGCCATGGCTCCAGCACAGGACAGGGAAGCCCAGCCCATTGTCCCACCTGGTGTTTTGGGGGGGTCAGCCCAAGGCTGGTTGTTCCCTGCAGCATGGGGAGTCCAGTCCAGTCCAGGTGTGAGTCACTGGGCACACTGGGAGGGCTTTCCTCCTGTGTCAGTCTCCTGGGATACACCAGTGCCAAAGAGCTGCAGAGCTGACCTGGGGATGGCATTTCAATCAGCAACAGCTTCCAACCCACAGGGCTGCCCTAGAGATGGGTTCATGGCAGCTGGGTGGCCTTGGGAAGTCTCTTCTACCTGAGGCCAAGAGGACGAAGCAGAGTCAGGCTGGGCATGGTGTCGCCCACCTACCTCATCTCTGAGGCTTTAATCCAGAGGCCACATATCTACCTTTATGGTCAAATTGCCTCCTCCCTCAGGCAGAACAGGAGGACCTTGTCCTCGCTGCTCCTTGGGAATGGGCTCTGTCAGTGCCACAGCTGAGATCTGCCTCTGTCTGTGGGAGCGCAGGTTGGCATAGGCCGGGGCTGAGGACCTAAGAGGGCCCTGGCATTTGAGGGGCAAAGGTTTGCCCACAGACAGTCACAGCCTGGATGCTGCTGGGTTTGCTCAACTCACCCTCACCCCCAGTTTCTCTCCCCAGGTCCTGCCCCATCCCACTGAAAAGCTTTGCTCAGCACTATGCCCAGAAGGCAGCCAAGTCCCATGTGGGCTTTCTGAGGGAGTATGAGGTAAGAGCTGTCCTGGGCAGGGTGCAGAGACTGGGGGAATCTGGTCAGGCTGGGGTACTCTCCTGAGAGAGTCACAGGCCCCAGTTTCCAGCAGCCTGGCTGTCCTGGCAGCGTCCGTCTCCTTGGCATGGCGTCCCGAGGCTCATAGCTCCCTCACACATCCTGCACTCATCAGGGTCTGTCCATGACCCCCTCCATGCAGGGTAGGGACCTACTGAACACCATCATCTCCTGACCATGCAGAGCAGACCTGGCAGCCCACCCCAGAGGTGGTCACGTAGCATCCCTGCATGTGCAGCTGTGACCACCCTGATGTCCCCAGGAATCCCCAGTTCCTCCTGCTCCTCTTGACCCTTCCCTGCTCACTGCTTCCTCCACTCTCCTTCACTCTGGCAGACCCTCCTGGAGGTTGTCAAGGAAGAAGCCAGCTCTGCAACACCATCTTCAGGCAACCAGCAGACACGGCCCTCTTCCAGCATCCTCCCATGTAAGTGCTGTGACACCTTGCCTTGTCCTGTACTTGTGTGGAGCTGGGCTGGACCAGGGCCGGTGCTTCATGGTACAGGAAAATATTCTGACACACTGCAGTGAGTGCACCAGAATCTACCGAGGGGGTTTTGGGGTGGAGCTCATGGTGGAGCTGAGATAGGTGGGTTTGTTCAGTGTGGAGGAGAGAAGGAAAAGGGCAGATCTCACTGCTATCTTCAAATACCTGCTGGGAGAGCACAGAGAATATGTAGTCCTCTCAGAGGTGTACCACAGAAGGACAGTGGGCAATAGGGATGACTTGGAAGTGTAATCCAATTCAGTATAAGGAAAAAGAGCTCCTATGAAGGTGGCCAAACACTGGAACAGGGGCCCAGAGCATCTGCAGGCTCTCCATCCTTAGAGATACACAGATCTCCACTGGCCAAGGCACTGAGCAACCTGCACTACACATACCTGCTCTGCACAGGAGGTTGGGATACAGACCTGTCTTTTGGGGACCAGTGTCCCTGACCTGGATGAAAGCACTGCAGAGGGGAGCACCTTCACATAGACATGGTGACGGGGGGGTGGGTTTGTGTGGAGTCTGGCAGTCGGTCTGCAGGAGCTGTGTGAGCACGGGGCTGCCCTGCATCCCTCCACCTCCCACGTATTTTGCAGACGATCGCTCCAGAGTGAAGTTTTCCCTGCTGGAGCAGGGCCCTTTCTCAGGTCTCCTGCAGGTGTGGCGTGTCCCGGTGAGTCGTGTCTCCAGCAGCACTGCCCAGCCTGTGCCCCTCTTTATCCCTGTGCCTCTCTTTATCCCTGTGCCCCTGCTCACTGCTGCCGGGTTTCTACTTCACTGCTGCTGTGATCCTGTGTGGACAGGAGGGGACTGTGGGGACTGAGGATGTGTCTTCCCTCACCTGCCCGGCTTGAGCTGCACTCATTTGGTGCTTTCTCCTCTCCCTTTTCCCCTTGAGCTTCCCTTCTTCTCTTGGCCTCTCCTGCAGCTGCCTGGGCTGACGGGGTGCCCGTGCCCCCCTCTCCATCAGGAGAGTGATCTTCTCATTCCCCACCCAGGGCTGCAGCTCCAGCAGGGAGTATCTGGCTGTCCAGGGACCTGACAAGTTGACCATGGAGGATTTCTGGACGCTGGTGTGGGAACAGGAGGTTCACACCATCCTAACACTTCTCCCATGGCAGGAGAAGGGGGAGGTAAAGTGCCATGCCTGCCCATGCCGTGGCAGAGCAGGGATCTGGTTAATGCAGCTGGAAGCTAGCATAGCTAGAAACGTGAACTGTCTTCACTGCCTCCTGAAGCCTGGGTGCAGATCCAGCTTAGCTAAAGCTGAGCTTTTCCTGAGCCATAGTGCTCCCACTGCTTGTGATGGGAGACAGGTCCTGTCTGCCCACCTTGCGGTCCATGGCCCGGGTGCTGGTGCCCTTCAAGCTGCATCCCCATGGCACCCAAGGACTGCAGCTCCTGTCTCTGTGCATCCACAGTGGGGAGCATTAGCTGAGCAGATTCCCACTGCCAAGCAGCTCTGTGTCAACAGGGAAGCTGGCTGCAATCTGCTGTTGTTTCCAAAAACACACCCAGGGTTTAGCTAGGGGATGAACTGACATGGAATGATAGTGGGGGTGCTCTTGGTCCAGTGCCATCACAGACCCCTGCGACGGGGACTGATCTGAAATGTGGCAGCCATCAACATGAAGCCAAACTTGCTGTTGCACACAGGTCCCAAGTGAGGCGTGCTGGCCCCTGGAAGGAGACTCTCTCTGCACAAAGACGCTGACCATCCAGTGTGGCACAGAGAAGCTCATCTCTGGATGGAGATGCATCCAGCTCAAAATGAAACACGTACGTGTTGGTAGGGCTGGCCTAGCTCCCACTGCCTGGGATGTTCTCCACTGCTAGCAAACAGGTCTGGAGGGGTGAGGGCTGAAAGGACCATTGAGACTTGTCTGAGCTGCAGGAGCACAGTGCCAGCAGTCCACAAATGCAGGAGGAAATTGGGATTGCAGCACTGAGAAGAGCATCTGCTGAAAGGATGTAGGAGACACAGGGGAGAGGCGTGCAGGCTTCCCCTGCCCCTTGCTGATGGGTCTTTATGACCTCTTTGAAAAGGCCCACACAGTTCTCAGTCTCTCAAGGGGCAGAGCAAGGTGCTGTGGGGAAGGAGCGTGGGTTGCCAGGGGCACCATAACCACAGCATGGATGATGGGCACTGCCCCAGCATTGGCTGCCTGGAGACCCCCACAGACGCTCAGGAAAGTGTCTGACATCCAAGGATGGGAGAGCTGGGACCCTTCTGCATCCAAACCCACCCGTCCCTCCCCAACCACTGTGTCAACTCCTTGTGTCTCACCAGGAGAAGAAAGGCAAGGAGAGGCAGGTACAGCGATTCCTATACACGCTCTGGAGCAGCAAGAAACAGCCAGATGTCCAGAGCCTGGTGGATCTCCTCACTGCTGTCAGGCGGTGCATGCCTCACCGAAAGAGAGCCGGTCCTCTCCTGCTGCACTGCAGGTACCCCACGTTACTGCTCTGTCCGTGGGCAGCTCCCCAGAGCAGGTACCCACCGGGCTGCACAGGGCCTTTTCATGGCCACCAGCAAGTCTGCACCCTCCACCAAGGGCCCCAAGGTTTTGGGGCATGTTGAGAGCATGGAAAGCCCTGAATGTGGGAGGTCAGATGAAGCAGTGCTTGGCTAAGCGCATGGGAGAAGGGAGGGCAAACAGGGCTGGGCCAGGAGCATGGATGGAGCGGCCATCGCTGGGCTGACTGCTGGGATCCTGGGAGCAGCCCTGGTGTCTTCATCCGCTTGCAGCCAGGGAGAGCTCACGGTCCCACAGGAGCCAACACAGCCTGGACATCATCACAGTCCCTTGGGTGAGGGTTGCACAGCTCAGCAGGGCAGGGCGGGTCTCCAGGCTCCTTCAAGAGGCACTTTGGGGTCCCATCCCCCTGGTCAGCACAGGGCTTCCTAACTCCTCACAGCCCGCTAACCCACCATGCTCAGTTGCTGCATGTTTCCTCATGGGGTCTCTGACTTCTTGTGCTGGTGCCCACTTGCAAAGAGGTTCACCTCAGCCTGGCCAGGCATCAATGACCCTCCCTTGTCCCTTGCAGCGGTGGCGTGAGCCAAATGGGGACACTGATCTCCCTGGATTGCCTGTTGCACCAGATGAAAGCTGAGAGGGTCGTGGATGTCTATGGGGTGACACTCCAGCTGGCGAGAAGCTGCTGCCTCATGACCCCGACTCTGGTAGGTGGGAAGGAGGAAGGGTGGTGGGCTGGGCAGAAGGAGACAGTCATGCTGAGTTGCCTAGAAATCCCCAGGTGCTGCCTGCCCCCCAGAGCCATCCAGCTGATGCAGGGATTTATTCCATGCTTCCTCTGCAGCCACCAAGGGCCAAGGGCAGTGTCTTCTCTCAGGGAAGGGCTTTCCATCTCCTCAGCTCTGGAGTTAAAATGGGTTAGATTGCATGTGAGCTGATGATAAAGGCAAGGAACGTTCTGCCTTGGAAGCGCTGGTTTCATCCTACGCAGCCCTGCCTGCTCACACCGGCCCTGGGCAGGGCTGTCGGCCTGGGCATCCTGAGTCTGCCGGGTGCCCCTGTCTGCTGCCTTTCCCTGCCATACCCCCACACCCCTGAGCTGCGCTGGGGCTGCCCGTGAGGGGCTTAGCGGGACACCCCACCACATCTTCAGCTGTGCAGGCTGGGGCCGTGCCCTGCCATGCCCAGCCCAGCCCCGCAGCCCCCGATGGGCGCTGGCGGCACGGATGCCCTCTGGACAGCGCTTCCATCCCCTGCGACTGCTGAATGAGCTGATGCAGCATCCCTGGAAACCCTCACTACCGAGAACAGCGGAATTAGGGCAGATCGCTCCGGGGCTTCCCAGCTGCTGAGCCGCCTGCAAGCAGCTAATCACATTCTTAATTAATGTGAACCATGCGCATGGTGGAAGCCAGAGGAGGGCAAGGCACCCGCTGCCCCTGCTCCAGAGCTCCTTTGTGTGTCAGGAGCCGCTTGCCGAGCAGAGACACAACGTGGCATAAAGACACAGCAAGCACCCATCAAAAGCCACTGCCTCACGGCAGGGGGGCAGCACAGGCAGCTGCCACCCCACCTTGCCATGAGCAGTGCTTGCTCTGATCCCAGCACAGGACAGGCAGGGCAGCCTCCTCCATCCCTGCGGGGGCTGGCCTGGGCCCCTTTGTCTCTGCTGGGGGCACGCTGCTGTTGTGCTGGGGGTGTCAGATGATTTTTGGGGGGTTTAGGTACAAACAAGGAAGAAGACGAACCTCTGAGGGATTGCCCATGGTTACCCAATGGGTATTTAAGCACCCCCAGCTCTGGCAAGGCAGGTGTCTCTGGGGATGTGCTTTTGCATTTAGTGTTGAGTGTGCCTGGTGTGAAGTCAGCCCTGGGCTGTCACTGCAGATCTCACAATCAGACCAGGCTCATTGCAGACATGGTCTGGTGACCTGGAACTGCAGCCACTCTGTGATCTGTGGATTTCCCAGACCTTCAGTGGGGCTAAACCCACTGCTGGAGGAGGAGGAGGCTCCTCGTGACTTGCAGCTTATCCAGCGCATTAGCAAGCTGCTTGGAGGCCCCTCTGTCAAGTCCCTAATCCCCCTTCCTGCCTACCATGTGATTTCAACCCACAGCTGCCCTTCAGCTTTGTGTGTTGTGTACAACCTCCTTTACCTGCCCCACACCTTGCCTTCCCAAGAGCCCTGCCTTGGCAGTGCTCAGTCCTGGGTGTTTTGTAGCCTAACATAATTTTGGAGCTGCCTGGCATTTGAGCAGAACCCTATCTCAAATCCACAGTGGACTTGAGACCTCTGGACCTACATTTGGTGCTGATGGATCATTCTGGTTATCTTAAAAAATAGAGAAATGATACAACTGGACTAAAACCACCCATATCTTGTTGTCTGCCTCTGAGGGCTTGCAGAGATCTACCCTGATCTGCTGTCAGCCCTTGCCCCACGTTGGCTGAGACTGCCAGGCCCTGTGCGCTCAGCAGGGCAGAGCTCTGCCCACTCAATGCTCTGCATTGTCACTGGTGCTGCTCTTCAGTCTTGTTCAGGATGCAAACACCATGGCACATCCAAGAGCACTTTGGGGAAGTCGGATGTCGTTGTTCCTCTCATGCCGCGGTGCAATTTGCCTTCAGGAGTTATGAATGGGGATGGTGAACCAAGAGGAAAGAAATATGGTGTAACTACAGCTCCAGGCCTGATTATTCCTTTCTGGGCAACTCTGGTGACACAGGACAAACATGGGCCATTTAGGACAGCAAATCCTACTTTGCCATCGAACACTGTTTATTAGGACCTTTTGAGGCAAATTGCAAGGTTGGTCCTGTAGCCAGGAGATCTCTGTCAGAAACCTGATTCCAGGCTCCCCTTTGTCTTTTGCAGGACCAGTACATGTTCCTGTACAACTGCATCCAGGACATCGTTGCTCAGAAGCAGCCCTAACACCATTTGGAGGTGCCTGGCATGGTCCTCCACCTCTGCAGGCCCTGTCCAGAGCCAGGAGCTTGGGCAAGAGCACCATGGGGGTCCTGGCACAGATCACACCCTGCTGCAAGGGGGGACCCACCCCAGCACTGCCACCAACGTGTCCCACGTGGAGTTAGCAGCGACGCGGGGTCTTCTGAGCAGATAGGCAGGGTTGTCCTGCCACGCACTGCTGCCACCCCTCCATGCAGAGGCAGTGAGGGGCTGGGGGTGCTGCTGCCCTGCTTTGGCCATCTCCTGGGATTCCTGGTGCCTGGAAGGTTTGCTGACCCCGTTGCCATATGCAGCACTCGCTGTAGGGGCCTGCGGTGCCCCTGCCCCTCAGCACAGAAGGGGGGGTCTGACACGAAGACGGGGACCGTGGTCTCTGTGCGATCCTGGGTGCAAGGAGTGTGGAGGCCTCAGACACGGCTGTGGACAGAGCGTGGTGGGAGCTGGGTTGTCTCAGCTGGTGGATCAGTCTTAGGTACAAATAATAAACAGCCCTAGGAAAGAGCATGCTCGTAAGGGTGTGTTGCCTTCAGTGGGGTCTCAGCGATGCTGAGGCCTTGCCCTGCTGCAGCACCGCAGCCATTCCTGAAAGAGCAGCTGTGTCCCCAGCAGTGGACAGCAGACAGGGTGCTCTTGGCCAGTCCAGGTACACAGCAGCTTCTGCTCACCCTCATCTGCTCCTGCTCCTGAGGCAACACTTCTGGAGTGAGCCTCCAGCCCACCCACAGCTTTACAAGGAAGAGACACGTTTTCTGAGGAAGCCTGGCACTGAAGTTCAAACCTGCTGGCTCAAAGAGCCTAGGACCCTGGCAAAGCTGCCTGTTTCACTGACACGCTGGCAGCCCCATGCACACTGCAGAGCACTGGCTGCTGCTGCAGGGACTGAGCTGTCCGTGCAGCCACACGCAGGGACACCGTGGCTCTGCAGGCAGCGATGGCCATGCACAAGCTGAAATTGTGAGTAGTGACTTGGTTGGTTGAGCTCCAAGTACAGGTCAGAAGAGTTAGAAAAAGCAGATGATTTCATGAGCACATTCCTGGGAACCCATTTACCCTCCTTCAGCCCCCAGGGAGCTTGGGGTTATGGCACAGTCTCAGAGCAGTGCCCCCATCCCAGTTTGGGCCCACGCTCCTGCCCACAGTATAAAAAATATAAATACAAATACAAATACAAATACAAATACAAATACAAATACAAATAGTGGGAGCTGCCTTGGGGTGCAGTTAGGAGGTAAACCAGCCATGATGAGGAGGTCCCAAGCCTTGTGGTAAGGAGCTGAGAGCCCCAGGCGGGTGACTGAGTTGACCACTCATCCCACTGCCCCTGTGTTTCCACTAACAGCTTCTCCCTCTTCCAAAACAAGGATCCTGCTCTCTGTACCCCAGAGTGGGGCAGGCAGGGCACCCAAGCATGGGGAACCATCACAGTCCCAGCACTGGGATGATGCCTCAGTTGGTCCTCCTGCACTGAGCCTCTGCTGGACGCTGCTGTGGCTCTCATTTGCTGAGCATGGCTGTCCCAGATGCTGAGCACGGTTACACCTCAGAGGTGTGTGCAGGCGTGAGCTTTACCCTGCTGTCCAATAGGCTCCTGTTCAAAGTGTGCAGTCTCCACTGAACACCGAGAAGCATTTGTATCTGTACATCCCAGCATGGTTTATGGTATATAAAACACCTGATGCTCTCAGTCTCGGAAGGTTTCAAGAATATCTGTGCAGCGCCGTGACGCAGGAAGCGTGGCCACTGGCAGTGCCAGTGAAGATGTGCAGGAGGAGCTGTTGCCATGAGGGCACAGAGCAACTCTGCTCTGTGGTCATTGCTCCTCTGTTTGTCACGCAGCTATCAGGGTCTCCTGACAGCCTGGCCAGGGCTGCATCCTCAGAAAGGGGCAGCTGCCAAGGGTAAGGAGGGGCAGGAACTTAGAAAACTCTCTGTTTTTCTGCAATCAGAGCTACCCTGCGGCTTTCAGAGTCATTATGCCTGAGGCTTTGCTCAAAGCCATATTCCCCATGGAGAGGGTCTGGGTCTGGCTCTACAGCTTGTGGCACAGGAGAGAGGCCTCAGAAGGGGACAGTAATCCCAGAGACTGCTTGTGGCCTCCTGGCTTTTGTGGAGAAGAGCAGGACATCACACACACCAGACAACTTGGCCACCCCCTATTCGCTCTTAGCTGTGACAATGACGGAGCCCTCTCATTCCAGCGAGGCTCAGTGCAGCACAGCACTCCCCATACCTCTTGACAGCCCCTTGGGAAGATGCCCATGGTTCTCTGTGTGTCCCTGCACAGCAGTGGCACTTCCAGTCGTGGGACACAGCTCCGCAGCCAGGCAGGGCCGACGTATGGACCAGGGCTGGTGGCACAGAGCTGCAAGGATGCCGTCCCCATGTGGTGAGGAAGCAAGTGAAAGCACGGTGGAGGAGGCACGTTGCTGTCTGCAGAGCTTCCCAAGCCACCCCACAGCCCTCACATCTGGCTAGCACCACACCACAGTGTTTCCAGCAGAGCCAGCAGCCAAGGTGAACCTGCAGACGCCTGCAGCTGAAGTGCAGCTGCTCTGGCAGGTATGAAGGGACCTTCTCGTTGATGGGACAGGGATTTGTCACGCAAACTGCCCAACAGGTTTCACCCAGCAAGTTTGGAGTGGCTGTGTCTGTGGCATAGCCGCTGTGTAACAGGAGGCCAACTTGGTGACGATGATGAATTTGCGACCTCCCACCCGCTGCTGCAGCGGAGTCTGGAGCTGCAGATGCTTACAGAGGGTGTCGTGGGAGCTGTGGTTTGGATGAATAATTTTCCAGCCCTGCAGCTCAGAGCCACGAAACCCAGAGCGGGAGAGACAACAAAACAGTAAAACAAAACAAGCCTCCAGCGCAGGCCGCCCAGGGAGTTTGGACCGTGCCGTGTTGTTCTTCATATTTAGCCTGCCCCAGTCTGGCAGCATCCAGCCACCACCTCCTCCATCAGCCCACATGGAGTCAAGACCCTGGAGACGAGCAGGATCATGTCCATTTGGACCCCTCTCCCTTCTCCCCTTCCTGTGGCTGCCAGAGCAGGGGCAGACTGTGTTGGCATTGCCAAGTGACAGGAGCAGGGGTACCCAAACCCTGGATCTCCTGGGGACCCACAGCCATGGGAGCCTGCTGGTGACTGCATGGGGATGCAAGTGTAATCCCACAGCTTCACTCCCCAGTGCTGACTCTGCCCTCAGCTCTCCCTGTCCTCTGCTTCCACCAGGACACAGAGTCCAGCAGCTGCCACATCTTCACCAGCACAGTTACAGGGCATTGCTCCATGTCCCCCTGCCACACACCACACCGGGCATCTCTATGGTATCAGGTGCCTGGCACCAGGCTGTGGTGGTCCCAGCTGCAGCCGTGGTGTGGGGATGCCCACACCTGAGCCATACCCGCACTGGGCAGCACCAGTGCAGTTCAGGACATTGAACCCGGTGTCTGGTCCCCCTAACAGGTCTTTACCCATCTCTGCATCTCTGTGTCTCTTCTCTGCAGGGCACAGAGCCACCGGGCTGCCCCTTGGCTTTTTGCAAGCAGTGCCTCCCAGAGCAAAGAGTGAAACTGCACCTGAGGCTTGTGCTGCCCTGGGTATCAGGGAGGGATGGCTGTGCCCCTCTCTGCGTGGCTTCTTTGGCACCAGCCCCTCCTGCTACCAGGGAGCAGGGGAGCCCTCAGTCCTCGTCCTTCCCCTGCCCCAGTCAGGCAGCTGGAGCAGCGTGCTGGGCACTGGGGCTTTCTGCTTGTTTGCAAGTGTTTGCACTTACATTTTGGAAAGCCTCGGGGAGCCCGTGCTGGGTCTGGAATAATCTGCGACCTGATTGTGGTATTTCAGCCTTTGGATGGCCCTGATGGGAGCAGGGGTGCAGGGAACATTCCTCTGACCTCGAACAGCTCCCCGGGGTCTGCGCTGGGCCTGCAGACACATCCGAAGCACCAGGCTCTTGGCTCCCGTCCCTGCTGGTTTGGGCCACATCCTGCTCTCTGCAGGACCTGGAAGAGCAGCTCCAGGAGCCAGGGATAGCAAGATAGTCTGGAGGGCTTATCCTACTGAAAGATCATGTCCCAGGAGCGACACCTCCACAGAGAAGTTGTAGATGAGGTGGATGGGTTGCTCACCCTGGCACACACGGGCCTGTTCTGGTGATGCCCATTTCTTTGCAGTGTCCCTGTGCTTTGTGGGGCTGCCTGGGGCTCTCTCTCCATCCTCTCCTTCCCTTCTGGAGGCGCTGCCTCTCTGCCATCCTCTCCAGAGCGTGGCACAGTGAGGTCTCGGTTCCTGCTGTGACCCAGCCAGTGTCCTCCTGGTCTGCAGTAGGGACTGGTTGTCCCTGGAGATCACTGGCCAAACTGGGATTCTACTGGGGTGATCCTGAGCCCCCTAAAATCCGCAAGATAATAAAAAGAGGGCACCAACAGTTGTCCTGCGGGAGCACGATAGAAGACACACAGTGGAAGCAATAAACAGCCCTCAGCCCCTCGGCTCAGTGAGCACAAACAGGGAAATGCCCACCTGGATGTCAAGGGCATCAGCAGCACCAGCGGCACAGCACAGCCCATCACCGCCCTGCGCTCTGCAGGGGGAGCTTTGCTGAGTGACAAGGTCAAGGTCCAACAAGTTGCCCCATTCAGGTCCACAGTCATTTTGGCTCTGCGGGAGGGGACACCAGCGCCTGTTGTAAGGGTTTAGCTGCAGCCCTGCCCTGGCTGTATCTCCAGGAAACTTTGTCAGCCTTTAAATTCCAACAGCTCCAAAAAAACCTTGCCAGCTGCAGCCCACAGCCCAAAGCTTGCTTGGCATTTCATTTCTGGTCCACTGAGAGGATTTGGCCAGTGCTGGTACCCAGAGTCCCAGCTCTCCCCAGGTCCAAGGCTGAGACCCAGAGCCAGACCACCACAAGTGTGTTGTGCTAGCACGAATAACTCAGCCCTTTCCCACCACCCCTGCCCCTCCA